GTATATTATATTGGTTTTGAATTTTGTAATGCTCTAATTTATTTTACTAGAAGATGAGATTGTTTATTGTAATATTGCATTATACTATATTATGTTGTTATATGTATGTTAAAAGCAATAAAAAAAAAACAAATAATTCGATTTTACTAAGTAAATTCAAGTTACAAATCGATAGATGATATTTCTATAGACAATAGATTATTAACGTCAAATAAATTGATTCCAAAACTTTTACAGAGAAAATGAGCTAATTGAATATATCGCCCTTATAAATTCAATACCAAAAGAAAGGAAAATATTAATTTCAAAAGGAACTAATGATAATGTATGAAAACATAAAAATAATAGCAATTCCTTCTTACCTTTTATTACTGGCAAACAATTTCAGAAATTAGTACCACTCCACACTGCCTGAACGCAAGTGGGACACTACGTATCGGCTAGGCGTACAGCTAGGCCTAGCCGAGAATTACGGTACGGTAAAACAAAGCAAAATAAGGGTACTTGGCATACAAATCAATCATACTTATAAGCAATATATTGTAGAGATAACATGCACCCCCAGAAATTTGACATTCCAGTCCCTGAAGAAGTTTAGGTAGTGTGGGTTAAATTAAGACCTTATAGACTTCCTCGTGAGATTTCACAGTTGTTTATCGCTGCAGTATATTCCCCACCCGACCATATAATGAAGGCAGCTTTCTAATTAATTGTATTGTATTGATGTCATTACTACAAACCATCCCAATGCAGGAATAATAATAGGAGGAGATTTCAACCGCCTAGACCTTACACGCTTGAAATCCCATACTTTCGCACAGTTTGTCAAAAAACCTACGAGGGAAAACGTTACGTTAGATAAGATTCTAACCAACATTAGGTTGAACTACAACGATCCGGTTACCACAGCCCCATTAGGATGTAGTGACCATCCTTGCGTCATTTGGTCACCCAAAGGCAATAAGTTTGAAAACAAAAAAGTTATTAGACTAGTTCGTCCTATGAAGGATTCAACGATGAGATGCTTGGCCAATGGATCACCAACTATGACTGGTCAGAAATTAGCAACGCTCAAGATAAGTGTTCAGCTTTCTACAGAATACTGCACAATGCCATTGAATGTTACTTCCCATCGAAATCAATTAAATATCACGCATTTGACAAACCTTGGATGATCCCCTCATTAAATCACTCGTCAAGGAAAGACAACGTCTACATTGCATTGGAGATGAAAAATGGAAACAGATTAGAAACAAGATTGCGACCCAAATTAATAAAGAAAAATCAAAATTCTATAATATTAGCGTAAAAAAACACAAAATAAGCAATCCTGCGACGTGGTATCAAGAAATACAAGTAATGATAAACAGAGATAAGAAGCAAACGTCGATCCAAACGACATCTTGTCTGTTGCTAATAGTCTTAATAATCATTTCACATCAATTTCGGACAATATACCTAAGCTCCGTCACAACCCTACTACGAACAACACTCCCCTACCAAAGGTACATGAATTTGAAGTCTATAAAGTACTAAAAAAACGTTAACAATACAAAGTGTCCGGACCTGACGCCATTCCTGCAAGAATTGTGAGAGAATTCGCATGTGAGTTAACGATACCACTAACTAACATCCTAAATTCTTCATTTCAAGAAAGTTATGTTCCAACGCAATGGAAGGAAGCGACTGTTATCCCCATCCCAAAGACTAAACAACCATCATGGGACAAAGTCAGACCCATCTCATTAACCGACCACTTTTCTAAAGTAGCTGAACATTTCGTGTATTCATGGTTGTTAAATGATCTTCAACATAAAATAGACCCAAATCAATTCGGAAACAGATCTGGTTACTCAACTAACCACTACTTAGTGAAATTAGTTGACAATTTCAGCAAGCATGTCGAAAACAAGTCCAGTCACAGCTCTGTAGTCGTCACAGACTTTTTAAAAGCTTTTGATCTAATCGATCACAACATATTAATTCAAAAACTAACTGACTACGGCATTCACGACTCGCTTGTATCCTGGCTTGGACATTTCCTGATGAAAAGAAATCAATCCGTGAGATATAAAGGTATCATTTCTGAACGCAGATTTCTGAATGGGGGGTCCGCAAGGTAGCAAACTTGGCCCCTTACTTTTTGTCGTCCATATCAACGATGCGCTATCCCTGACTACAACAACTGATACAAAACCTCCTCTTGTTCTTAAGTACGTTGATGATTTGGCAATTGTTTCTAATGGAATCGGTAGACATACTCAATTATCATCTCAAAAACATCTAACCGGCCTTAACGATTGGTCAGTAGCAAACGAAAT